AGCCAACAAGCACCGGAACAACAAACTGCTTTATCGATAATTATCAAAACGCACCTCACCTCATCGAATTTTTCGGGTAGAGAACAGATACATTCCCGGCTATTCCTCCTCAAAATCTGTTCAACGGATGTCCTCGTTTGTCATAATTCTCTTTCGTGAAGACAGGGGTGGAATTTGACCCAGGGAAGCTGGGGGAAGGGATTTGACTTTCGGCGTATCGGATTTTACGCTTCGCGAGGGATGGAGCGGTTTTGATTCTGACTGGCTAACGATTCGGTCAATCAATCCCACGTTGTCCCAGTTCAATTCTATAGGCTCTGACGCGTCGAAGGAGGGTTCACTGACTGAAATCGACCAATGGGCTGCTGACTTAGGCCTGCATAGACAGAGAAACTGCAGGCAGACGAGACAGCTCCATGGATCACAGACACAAAATGGACTCACAGAGGATTCCAGCTCTGAAAAATGAAGCCAAACTGCTGTATTTGGATGTATTGAACACCATTAGTGATAAAACAAGTGAAATATATAGTTATATAGTATAGAAAATTACAATGGAACAGCTGGTTCCAAAATGACAATTTGGGTCACCTCGCCTGACCTCTGTACTAAAACCTCTCTAATTTTGTTCTGCTTCACTTTATCAAAGTCACACTTTGCACAGAGACTGTTCACATATTGTGCTATGATTTGGGATAGGTATAGACTTGCCACTGCATCATTCCAAAGAAATAATAACAATAAAAATGCTTTTTTTTCAGGTGAACCTGAAACTTTTCAATTTGAGCTGTGTGCCATCTTCATTTACTCTTAACCAGTAACATATACACTGATATTTACTCATCTGAACAAATCTCACAAGTGTTACCTTTATTATAACATCACAATTATTAAAATAGAACTTGTAGTTGCAGAAATACACTCTTTTTAGTATGGGTATGCAATTTTCGAGCAGAGGCCTAAAAATAGGGCTAGGGTTTTAAGCCCACTCTTGATCCAGAGGTATTAGCTCACTATAGACCGATCTCTAACCTTCCCTTCCTCTCTAAGATCCTTGAGAAAGCAGTTACAAATCAGTTGTGTGACTTTCTACTAAAAAATAGTTTATTTGAGGATTTTCAGTCAGGATTTAGAAAGCATCATAGCACAGAGACAGCTCTGGTAAAAATTGACCTTCTAATTGCATCAGACAAAGGACTTGTCTCTGTTGTTGTCTTGTTAGACCTTAGTGCTGTGTTCGACACCATTGACCATTACATCCTGTTGCAGAGACTAGAACATTATATTGGCATCAAAGGAACCGCACTAAACTGGCATCAAAGGAACCGCACTAAACTGGTTTAAATCCTAATTATCTGATTGATCACAGTTTGTATAACGTAAACGATAAATCCTTGATGAACACCAACGTTAGTCATGGTGTTCCACAAGGTTCTGTGCTTGGACCAAACTTGTTCACCTTAAATCTGCTTCCTTTAGGCAATATTATCAGAAAACACTCTAAAAACTTTCATTGTTATGCAGATGATACTCAATTATATCTATCGATCAAACCAGATGAAACCAACCAGCTCACTAAACTGCAGGCATATCTTAAGGACATAAAAACCTGGATGATCTGCAACTTCCTAATGTTAAACTCAGACAAAACTGAAGTTATTCTACTAGGCCCAGAACACCTCCAACATCAGTTATCTAATGATATACTTTCTCTAGATGGCATTGCGCTGGCATCCAGCAGCACCGTAAAGAATCTTGGAGTTACCTCTGATCAGGATTTGTCTTTTAACTCTCAGATAAAACTAATTTCTAGGACTGCCTTTTTTCACCTACGTAATATTTCAAAAATCAGGCACATCCTGTCTCAAAGCGATGCAGAGAAATTAGTTCATGCATTTGTTACCTCTAGACTAGATTAGTGCAATTCCTTATTATCAGGCTGCTCTAATACATCCATTACATCCCTCCAGCTGATTCAGAATGCTGCAGCACGTGTACTAACAAGAACTAAGAAAAGAGATCATATTACTCCTGTATTAGCTTCTCTGCACTGGCTCCCTGTAAAATCTACAATATATTTTAAAATCACCTACAAAGCCCGAATTGGTCAGGCACCATCATATCGTAAAGAGCTTATAGTACCATATTACTCTACTAGAGAGCTGCGCTCCCTAAATTAAGGGTTACTTGTGGTTCTTAGAGTCTAAAAAAGTAGGATGGGAGCCAGAGCCTTCAGTTATCAAGCTCCTCTTTTGTGGAACAAGCTTCCCGTTTCAGTCCGGGGGGCAGACACACTTACCACATTTAAGAGTAGGCTTAAGACTTTCCTTTTTTAAAGTAGTGCTTATAGTTAGGGCTGGCTCTGGTTTGCCTTGGACCAGCCCCTAGATAACCTGGTATAGGCTTAGACTACCGGGGCACTTCCTAGGATACACTGAGCTCCTCTCTCCTCTTCTTCATCTCCTTCTGTATGAATTGATGTCCCATTAATGCTCATTACTAACTTTTCTTCTTCCCCGGAGTCTTTGTGCTTTCTCTCCTAACAGGTTCCATGGATTGTAGTTTTATCTGGACCCTGGTCCTTCCTACCGCCATGGCCCTGCTGACTCCCACTGCTAATATAATTTTTATTATTACTCACATTACTATTTTATATTACCTATAGCATGAACGCACATTACTGACTTTGAATTTAATGGTGAATCCTTTGGTATCTTATGTTGAACCCTCAGACCATCTAAGGCCAGAATCTAGGCCATGAAGTGTACTTCAAATATGGCAAGCCTTGAAATGAGGCAAAGCGTGCAAAACAGTTATTTCTCTCAAATTTCCCGACAAATGTCATGAATATGAATGATTTGGAAATGTTAGTGGCTGTCTTCTCTCCTCTGTATATGTGTTTGTGCGCATTTCCCCTCAATGGCAGGTCATTTCTCTGGTATTTTCCAACTGCTAGCTGAAGTTAAACCAAGATTGGGATCATATTTTGAAACTGGGTCTGGGTCACTGTGGCCATGTCTGGGTCTACTAGAGTCTACAGCGCTGTAAAACCAAGCATCAACACTGTCTGCCGACCTCACATTTAATATCCCCAAGTCGTTCCGCCTGGCTGTGGCCAGAGGCACAACCACTCAAACAGTCTACAGATTCTTTCAAAAATATTGACTTATTCATAGATGCATACTGGCCAGTCTGACGATGGCCTTGAATTTATGACAAACCACAATAACCAACCACGAGCTGGTAAATTATAGCTGTTGTTGATCTGTCAGATATATAAGAGTGTGACCGCCAGCCAAAGTTGGTCCAAAAACCTTTTTTTTCTCTAAATGATTTGGGCAGCTCAGATATAAATGTCTCATAAAAATGTGAATGCCACAAGCCAATGGCATCCATCATAGGAACCTAAGCCTTACATAGCTGACGGTGTGGTGTATTAGCTGTTTGTCTATAAATACATTGTGCACAGGGAAGTAACAAACTTAAAGTCCCAGCCAGTGGTCTATTCATGCCTTTGAGTGTCAGCAGCCGTTCAGCACTGGCTTCCACTTGAAACTGTGAATGAAAGATAATGTGTCTTCTGTGGGAAGGCTGTTGAGCAGCATAGAGACTTTAATGGGGGGTAGATAACAGGTATTCAGGCTCCGCTCTCAACAGCCCTCCCCCATTCATATCTATCCAGGCCCTTGTTGTTTCAGCAAATTGAGGGGTTCTCCCCCAGATGACACAGTTATTTTATTCCATCTCTCCTATAACTCTCACACTCTGCCTTGGTCTGAAATTGCCCTCACAAAATTAGACTAATAACTCATTTTCGACAGCCCCAAGCAGCAGGCAATGCTTAAGACTTTATGCCATTACCGCTGGAGCTGCAATTTGAACAAATCCTGTTCCTGCCCAATTGCAAGCTTCATATTCTCTCCACATCCTCACAGTGGTAGAGCAGATGTGTTTTGTGTGCATATATGCGTGTGGCATGTGTATATGTGTATAAATTAAGGTTGAAGGTTTTCCCGTGGTTTTAAAAGGATTACTTTCCGGGAATGTATCACATTTTCTCTGGGATTCACAGGAATTGTCGCCATAAACAAAGCTTGACTTTGAAAACAGAATTACAAATAGTTATTTATAAAAATTACATCCACATTTTCTGCTGTTATTCTTTCATGCTTGTTGATTTTGTGGTAATATTCAAGTAGAGCAACAATCCCTTTCAGAAAGTGCTCTTTTTTTAAGTGAAAAAAAACAATGGTAACCATACAGAATCATGTGTTCATAGACTACTCCATGGAGTTATCAATGACTATTAAAACAGAGTGTAAAATGTACCTTTTGGCTCACAGGCCAATTTGGCTGGTAGATGAAAAAATGTACAAACCACAGATTTTTTTACCAGCCAAAAATAATAAATTACTTTTTACTTTTTCAATTTGATATTATTACTATTAAGCATCCTGGTCTTATACGTGATTCTCAATCAATATTATAGTAGTAATAGTCATAACACTAACCCTATGGAGGAATATTAATTCAACTGTTTAAACACTAGTGTAATACATTTGAGTTGATGAATTTAGGGGTATCAGCAGGCACGTAGAGACGGCCGGTGAGAGACACATAAGGTTGGACAGCAGGTAAACGCTAAGGATTCTTTGGACGGCCCACCGATGCCGCAGCTTAAAGGGATTTGTCCCGGTGGGCCAGATGGCCAATACACCACTGTACAGAAGTGACACCCAACCTATCGGCCAGAGTGGCAGGTGGTCTTCATAATGTACTCGCCAAAGACAAATTTACCCACAATAGGTGACTGGCGATGCAACGTATCATAAAACGGTTCGTATGATATCTTACGAAAACCCTAACCCTTGACCTCAAAAAGGATCAGGTCTGATCAAGGTCGATTTTCACACCAGTGACCAAATCTTTTCCTTAGGAACTTGATTAGCATACAGTGTTTAAATGAAAGTAAAAGGTGATCTGTAGGGCGACTTACTCACCATGGATGGGGTTGTGTGCCACTGTCAGGGGGATCGGCCTCTCGGGTTGGGATTGGACGTGCGCCTGTGTGTGTGTGGTGTGTGTGTGGTAGTATTTGGGCTTTATAACATACTGATGGCTCTGACCTGGGTGCATCGGCCGGATCCTGGAGGGAAGAAAGAACATGATAAGTTGTCAAATAGAATATCTTTATAAAAAATACAAAAGATGAAATGGTAACACAAGATTCATACACATCAATCATTCCTGTTTTACAGTATCCAGAAACGAGCCTTGGACATTGTTCAGTATCTATGCATAGCTTTATGGCTAAGTTGACCAAAGGGGGCAATCTCCCCTAAACTTGATGTCTTACAGCAGGTGTTTTTCCTTTGACAGCTGGTATTAACCAGCTGCTGTCACAACAGTGACTGTGGTGCAACCAGAAGTTCTTGAAAGGTCTAACACATAGAGACCAGTGCAGCAGCATCTTTCTGCCCTCTGCGATTCATTGATACTCTTTGGAGTGTGTGAGCGTTTGCAAGTGCCGGTCTGTAATGCTAAGTGATCTGCTTTAATGAGAGTTTTCATAAAAGACTTCACCTCCTCATGTGTTCTCAATGGTATCATATTGTGATGAATATGGCACCGTTTAGTAGCTGAAGTAACTACTATGCACTGCTCCTAATGCTAGCATGAGATGAATGCAAAATTTGACTATGCTGTTCTGTGTATGATCGTAATAGATAATAAAAGTAGATTTACATTATATACAGTCTTACTGGGTCCTGGTAGGGTCCTAGGGTGTATTGCCACAGGTCTCAGGTTAGTGGGTTAATATGTCTTATACCAGAGTGGATCCAAGCAAATACAGAAAAAAGTCAATGGAAGCAAGTCTGTTTCTATTGACTTCTCTCTGTATTTGGGTCTGTTGAGGTAAATCACATTTTTGATTGGCTTTAATTATCCTCTGGTCTATTTTAAGCCTGTTCTCATACTTATTATTTCTGGATAGGCCCCTATTGGGTACAACTATTGGATAGATTCCAATGAAAGGTCCCTAGAGGATGATGTAAATAACGTTGGTGACTTATCTCATCTTACACACATTTTGTGATACAGGTACCTGACTATTGTTTTAAGACACAATATCTTTTAATATTTTTTATTATGAGCATGTTAACATGCTAATGTAAACCTTTTGCTCACATCCTATTGTTTGCAAATAATAAAATAATAAAACGAGCCACAACTTCATGACAATCATGATTAGTTTATTTCTTAGTGTACAAGTGTAAAATTCCTCTTGATGGTGACTCTAAAACATAAGGTTAAGAGGTCTCCAAAACAATAAACCAAACATAATCATATAAAGGTTTTAACATGATGGAAAAGAGATATGGCCTTCCCAAGGTTATCCAATGAAGGATACAAGAAGAGTGCAAGCCCACAGAAAGGAGATGATAAACGTGGAGGAAAAGGTCGTTTGTCAACCGAGAATATTTTCATCTCATTAATGTGATGGTCCCCCTGCCACAGTATAAATAAACTGAAAACGATAGCCTTGTAAATAGCTCTGCTATGATCCTGTAATGTCATAAATAGATCTTCTGTTTAGGTTATGCAACTATGTATAGGGTATGCCTCTCTCCTTTATGATATATAGTAATGTGTTTACATCATTTTATCATGTAAGATAATCATTTCTAAAACATAGTCATAAAACCATCCTCTGGTAAAAACCTTCTGGACACTCTTTTAGGATTATTAGTGAGTTTTTATTCACATGGTGGACATGATGTGTGTAAACATGCGTGCAACGCAAGTGTACACACACACTGGCATCTAGTGTTATTGGGGGTAGGGGTGGTAGAATCTATATTCAGAAAGGCAAAGGGTTTTTTTTTTATCACCACTGTTTACAGCCTAGAGGAATTCAACCAATTTCTTTCATTTGTGCTACGTGACCACAGCAAACATTGTGCACTTCACATGTGATTCTGATTACATCATACTTTTTAAGGACATTTTCTTTTCAGCAGCATTAAAGGTACCTTTTAAAAGTAGAGCTGTGGAGCAATGTTTTCACGGGTGGGTCCCTTATTTATTTTTTTACTCCTGCACATGCATTGTTTCAGCAATAGTTTCATGCTGGTCCACTTACAGGGGGCAGGAAAGAAGACAACCGCTAGCAAATAAACAAGAATGTAAAATGCGGAAAAACGATAATTATTTCAACGATAGTTTTATTGATACGTCCGCGACGAGTATCAATGTTTTTTCGTTTTTGTTTTTAAATCCTGTTTTAAACGGATTTAAAATGTTTCGAATGCCTCGAATCCCCGTGTGGGTCAAACATTCTCCTCCTCCGCTCCTGTAACACTAGATGTCGTTGCCTATTGCCTTCTAAACTAAGGCCAAAGACCTTCCGGCTTGTCAGATTATCCAGCCAAAATGAAAACATGGCGTCTCACAAGAAAGGGGCCGTATACTGTAAAGCGGCGCAACGTGATCCTGACTCATTCCTGCCGACACATGTTGGATGTAGCAGTGTTGTGCCCAGGACTTACGATGAGGTGAGAAACGTGTCAAAACATCGCTCCCCCTACATCTAGACCCTTCGAGACATATGTTATGATTACATCACACATGGGAACTAGTTTCACGTGTTTTGCAGACACGGTCAATGCACGAGAGCTGTACAAGCAGTAACATTGCAGAGTTACTGAAAACTGAACCTGGAGGAATGGGATATAAATGGGAAGGACCCAGCCATAGTGACAGACAACCTTACCTCATGCACTTTATTTCATATGATGTTTATGGCATCAATATAGTATTTATTTCAAATTAAGTTGTGGCAAGTGCATTTTAGTAAAAAAGTGTTCAGTGACACAATGACAATACAATATACAATTTATTTTCATACAATTTTTTTAAGGCAAGTGCATTTCAGTTCAGTGTGTTTACTGCTGAGTGACTACACTGTACGATATATCATGATATATTGTATTGTGACACGTGTATCACGATACATATCTTATCGTGAGATGCTATCCAATACACAGCCCTTCTTCAGACCAACTGACACTTTCACATATGCACTAGTACTCCCCAAAACCTGGAAACACACTTTGATGTGTAAAATCAGCATTCAAACGGGCATTAGATTGATATTGTCTCATATCATCCTCGGGGATAAAGCAAATACATGTGTTTTGAAAAGCACTGGACTATTTCTTTCAGAGGATGACGACTTTGAGTTAGTTAACATCAGAGTAAAAGTAAAAACTACACACCAAAAACAAGCTAAGAAATAGTGTGTGTTCCTCTATGATGAGAGGTTCATTTCTTACCATATTATTATAATGACGATTCATGTGTTTTTTGCTTTTTGTTTCCTGTTGCAGTGACACAAATTCTTAATATAAAGATGTTTTTTTTGGGTCTTGTGTTTCATCTTTGAACTACAGGGTGTTATAACAGCCCCTGATCTTTACCTGCATGTTAAGTCTCCTGTCATTTCCAATCCTGCAACTCCCTCCTGACCTGTAATAACCCCTGTTCCCGCCAATGCCCATCACCTGATGGCCCCACCCACCTGCTCACCTATTCCCATTTCTGGGCCATTTCCAGCTGTTCCCTTTCAGATCATCTTTGTGCTCCTCACTAAGCGTTTCAGCTACTTCATCTGCCTGCCAGTAACCGGCCTGCATGATATTCTGCCTGTGCCTCTGACTTTTTCCTTTTTGCCTTTCTCTGTTTGCAGGCCTCGTTTCCATGCCTGCTTTTTGACTCCCTATCTACTGGGTTTTGGATTCATGCTTTTGGGTCCTAATCATTATACTGCTTGCTGACTACCTTCACCTCTTTGTCTGTCTACATCTTGTACAGGTCAAACTGGACTAAGTTATTCGTATCTAAGTGCAGAAATAAACATGTTGATACAGTGGAGTTAATGGAGAATTGCGGATGTGTATTTCTCAAACAAAAAGCCAAAAAAGTAAGTGATTTTAGTATTTGTTGGACACAAAATGTTATGCTACCAGATCAACTATTTCTAGATGCTTAGTCCTAAATTTGGCAGCCACGAAGAGCTTCAAACCTGAGCTGTAAGACAGACAGAATAGTTACAGCCAAAGAGAAGTTATAAACATAAGATCTCATTCCAGTCTCAACAAAATAGCTAGCATGACCGCCTGGTTGGCAATGACTGAGCCATCAAATTAAAAAAGTAAGGGAAGAGTTTGGAGAGTGTCCAATGACTAGTTACAAGAGCCTGCTAGTCCTAAATATTAGGGAGAAGATTCCACTCATTTCTACATAAACAGATCGGTGAGTCAGGGTTGAGGGAGTGAAGAGTGTGTGTGTGTGTGTGTGTGTGTGTGTGTGTGTGTGTGTGTCAGGGGCTGAATCTCTTCAGTTTCGGCCTTCACTACTCTGGCCACAATCACAATCCACCGACTTCTAAACTCAAGTCGTCCAAGTATTCTTCCCCACGAGAGCTGACATACTCTGTCTACCGTAATGAACCCACTGAACCTCACCAGAGCCCACTCACAGCTATCAATATCCTAACTGAGGCAGGCGGACTCCTGGGAGGGAAATGAAGAATATCTCTGGAGTGTATGCTTTGTTCTGGGTAACAGGCTGTCCGACTGGTTGACTGAGGGGATCAGAGAGACTCTCTAATGGCTCTTACAGTGTGTAAGCACCATTAAAGAGTTTCCCCCTAGCCACTAGCTATAGCTCTTTACGTAGGCTCTTGATGTGGAATATCGAATATATCCAGTGTGTCCACATTGTCTCCTCCCTGTTTGACCTGCCCTTAAAATCTCCAGAGGGAGGGTTCCAGGGGTCATCTGATGCAGCACAACTGGTTCCTTACAATCTGAGAGATCAACAGTTCTACTCTGAGCTCTGAGAACCTGTCTCTCAGGGTGAATCCCCGACTTCCTACAAAGGAAATCATTTTGGTCACTTGAATCCAAGATGTGCAAAGCTCATGACACTAATTATAAGGGTAGAGTTGGAATACAGACTGACTTAAGATACTTTGATGATTATTATTATTCTGACAACGTGAAGTTAGCAAAAACCAGGGGTCATAGTCACATGGATTACCGGGGCTAGATTGGGCGACATTGAATCATATTTCAAACTGCTAGCTAAGGATAAGCATAAATACAATAAGAATGTAATTCCCGTCGGCGGCAATGACACCCGATTACGCCATTTGGGGTCACTAAAGTTAATGTGGTGTGTACGTATGCAAAGACAATGTCTCTGGCCCCCTTCCACACCTGACCAATGACGACATGTTTAGCCGCATGTCATCATTCTGCCGCTGGCTGTCAAGGTGGTGTCCAGCAAACAATGTGGGCTTCATAGATAATTGGCAGACTTTCTGGGTAAAAGCTGGTCTGATTAGGAGTGATGGCATTTATCCCACTTTGGATGGAGCGGATCTCATATCTGACCCAGTATATTAGTGGACCTAATCCATGACAACCCAGAGTTGAGACTAGGAAGCAGAGTTGCAGTCTTACAAACTTCTCTGCACTTCCATGAGAGCAGTTACCCACCCAAAACCCCATAGAGAATGAACTTAAATGAATTAAATCAAAAGTAAACAGAGGAGTTGTAGAAAATAATCAAATAATAATTAACACCACCAATGCAGCAGTGCAACAAAGTAGGAAAATGAAATGTGGATCTGAAATATCAGATCTCTGTCATCTAAAGCTGTATTAGTAAATGATTCGGAAAATATCCGATAATTGGGGGCGACTGTGGCTCAGTGGTAGAGCCGGGCCGTCCTTCATTCAGAGGATCGGCGGTTCGATCCCTTAGCTCGCCACTCCGTGTCAATATGTCATTGTGCAATACACTGTCATACGGTATGTGAATGTTGCGTGAATGATTAGAACGTCCTGATGGGCAGGTGGCACCTTACATGATAGCCCCTGCTATCAGTGTATGAATGGGTGAATGGTTTAATGTAGTGTTAAAGCGCTTTGAGTGGTCGGAAGACAAGAAAAGTGCTATACAAGTACAGTCCATTTACCATTTACCAAATAACACGGACGCTCTATAGTCTGAACCAAGACGGCAAAGTCTCGTTCTTACCTTTCACAATAAAAGCCCTTGACAAATACGTTGTATCTCTGCTTACCAGAGGGAACTTAAATTCACTCAATTCATAGCATTTTTCTCAGAGGCAACTCAATAAAATATCTTACACTGGAAATTTTGAAAAAGGCCCATGGAGATATATTACCATTGTGTCAAACATCTTGGTCAGTTTGGATTTCTTCTTCTTCTTTTAATTTCTTAATATTTGCATATAGAGCAGTGAAGTGAGATCTGATCACAAGTGGTCAATCTTGTGGAGAGGCAATCTAATTCCAGGTGTGAACTGTCGTATTCAAAGCTGTCCACTTGTGATCGGATCACCCAAGACGTCTGTTAATCCCACGTGTAAACATGGTTAAAGAGTCAGCGTGCTGCTAAACAAACTGCCTGTGTGATTATCAACAGATGAAGCCTCGTACCAGGTTAGGGTAATGTTAGACACCATATACCATAGAAGGTGAATGCAAAAACACATGCTCTCTCAATAGAGACAATTAGACAAAAAATGGGAGGCCGAAAGGTCAGCGATATGAGCTTGTAGCAGAAAGGGTCAAATGTGGAAAAGTAAAGTAAACGTATCTGGATGTTCATGTAATAAAAAGTGTTACAAATTACAGTTTTTTCATCTTGTGTTTAAAAAGGTAATCTTTCACTTTACCATGCCCAGGGTTATTCGTAGCAGAATGTGTGGGCAGCTCGGCAGTGGAAGACAGAGAGTGCTTCTAGTGACCTTCTGCCAGAGTCAGTTAGTGAAACTAACTAACTGAACAAATAAAGCGTGGTACTTACTGTTGTTGGATGTGCTGTTGGATGTAATGTGGTCTTACAAGCTGGGGGGCCGACTTGACACTTAGTTTCATCTGGGCCATGTTGGATGGAGGGGGGGCGGAGTTATAACCATTGGGAAGAACTTGCTGAGGTATGGGCCGCTGAGGTACCATATTGTGTCCGTTGGTGTGTCCATTTGAGTTACCAGAGGTGTGCCCGTTGGTGGGACCATTCCCGGGCAGGGCTGGAAAGGGGTGTGTGGCCACCGTCTTCTGTTCGCATGTCGTCCCCTTTGAGCCAGGATTGCAGACACAGAGCTGAGGCCTAAGGCACATTCCTCCATTCTGGCATTGAGGGATGCAATTGGCTATAACACAAAACCCACACAGAGCAGAGACAGAGGAAGAAGAGAAAGAGAGGAAGGAGAAACAGATGGAGAATGAACATGAGTGATGACAGTGACTTGACGTTTTATGATTTTAAATGACTTTTTTATTGTATATTCTGAGCATCAGCCCAGAGTAAGAGGGGGGCTCAACCTGCAGCGCGCGTGGGACCGCCGTGACCAGAGGACAGCTTTAACCTCTTGGCAGTAAGCAGCATGGACTCTTGTCATTAAAGCAGTACATTTCCTGTGTCACAACTGCACATGTTATTGTATTTAAGCAGCAAAACTGAAAATTCCCTGTTATAATCCACTTAACACGCCAGAGGGAAAATTATAGATTCTCTACAGGACATATATTTGGACTTAAATATATGATGCTGAAAATAAAAATGTACTGACAGTGATGGTAGTGCTTGTCTCATCATTCCCAATAATTTCACTTATTTTCAATTTCAGACATGTATTTAGCACAGGTAGCTGGTTAGCTGTCCAGTGAAGCCTAAATGAGAGACAGAGGAGTTTATCTCCCATTAAACTTTTAAGCCCATTATATTATTGTTTTAAGCATATCACTTTTGGAGATCCTAATAACGACCTCTGGGTCTAGTATCAAACTTTGTCAGTGTCAGGGGTGAGGATGAGGGAATCTTCATGCATAAACCAAAAAAGAACTGAAACTGGTGCTTCAACAGACGGGCATTGAGACAGGATAATCAGTGATTGAGGCTGGGAGCACACAGTTATAGTATGAGCTTTTTAATAAGGTTCAGCAGCCAACATTGTGACATAAAGCAGTGGTGGTGTAGACGTTTAAATTGCCTGAGCCCAGTTAATAGCCCTTTCTCATAGGATGGACAGTTTCTGGGCATTGCTTATGTTTACAACTCTTGGTTCATTTGTAATAGACAATGTGAACACAAAGCAGACACCAACAAAAAGGCAACCATTTAGGATGCAACAAAATGTTGCATCCTAAATGTCACATGTGTGATGTCATCTCAGCTGGCAGCAATTTTCATCTCATTATCTATGAAGCTGGTTATAGAGGATCTTTTTACTTGTGCCTTTATTAGCCTCATCTAATCAGTCAGTCCTGTCAGATACAACACAACAAATGGTAAATGGTCTGTACTTGTATAGCGCTTTTCTAGTCTTCCGACCACTCAAAGTGCTTTAACACTACATGTTCATTCCCACCCATTCATACGATGATGGCAGGGGCTATCGACCCGCCGATCCTCCGGTTGAAGGACGACCCTGCTCTACCACTGAGCAACAGTCGCCCTTTAACAACAGCACCACTGGGCTCTAAAACCATTAGCATTAGCAGAATTTCGGGGGTAGGACCATACCTTTGCCACGGCATCTCCTATAAATACTAACCTTACCCACTCCTGTCCACTCTCATGTTCTTTACCAGAACTGAGAGCATGGAACACTGTTATAACAATCGAAAGAACTGATCTACTAACATCAACGGTATCTATTTCAAGCCCTATCTACTTACCCTGTTCCAGCACTTTCTAAATATCTCTTTCTGAGGAAGACATCTTTGGACAGTATCAAAATGACCAAGTCAAAAGTTCCCAGCAAACACAAGCAGGCCCAGCTACTGAATCTGATACTTCCTCCGCGCTCGAGACATTGTTTTATACCATCCAAAACTCATGGAAGCAAGTGAGTCCAGCAAATCCTTACAAAGTATCTTCAATGGTCCATATCCCGCCCAGCTCATCTCTCTTCAACTTAAAAAATTGCTACTGTTCAATCTATGAATCCTCCGCATCTCCCGGTCCATCTCCCCCATCAGGGACAAGAGGACAAGTCCATTCAAGGACAGCCTAGAGCCAACACAGTTCCCTGACCCCAATGTCTCCAAGAAAAACACCAGGCATCTGCCATTGACCCAATTATTCCAGCCTCACTACACGCAGCCAGTCACAGCGTCACCATGCACCCCCGACTTTCCCAGGCCATAGCGCTCATCACGGCTATTCTCCGAAGAGGCTGTGTATAAAAAATGTATACTATACAGGAAATTAAAAAAAAAGGTATATGGAACCCAGCGCTGCAATAACTGACTCAGTAGCATTAGAAGTGGTCACTAAGATGTCAAACATTGCTCAAATTGAAATGTTGCTAATTCAGAAAAGTTTAAATGAGAAACTCATTCAGCCCTAATATACACAATGATTTACTTAAAGCAGTTTTGAGCATATGTGCACAGAGCTCCATTCTCCCCAAGCAGATGATAGGGGCATCCATTTATCAACTTTAAAGCCTGTCTCACAGACAACACAGCCATGTACATGCATGCTTAGATGTGTTTGGATAAAACCATACAGAGGATGTTGATTGCAGATAACACACACATCCGGACTGTTCTCTGACTATATTCATTCCTCAACATAAAAACATGTTATCTTAATAGTAATCTCACTAATATAATAAATACTGAACCCAAGTCCTAACGTGTTGAGATAGTGAGGTTCGATTCGAACGCTCTGCTGAAAGCATTTCACTCTGTGTGTGTGTGTGTAAAGCCAGCAGGAGAAATGACTCAGAAAGAGGCCCTCTCTTACTCCCAAGAGTCCCTCAGGGTGTGTCACCTTCTCCCTAGGCTTGTTAGTCTAATTAGTGGCTTTGGGATTTGTGAAAATGATTAATGAAGGGAAAACTAAATGGCTAATGAAAGACATCTGCTGGCATGAGGAAAAGTTACCTCCTCTGTGGTTGTCCAAATTCCTCAAGACAATCACAATGTACAATCAGCGTACCAAGTTTATCCGTTTGGATTGTCTTTCAGCATCTGAAAACTTTCAGACTCTGTTTTCATCATTTTTCATATGCACAACTGAGGGCAACATAAAAGTCGGTGAGTGCTTCGTGATATCCACTTCACACATTGGCGCATCATACCCTGCATTTTAATTTGGCCATTGAGGTGTTAACACTTTTGCTTTAACTTTATATGTTGTGCAACCTAGTTAGTTTGAAGCATGCTGAGAACCTGACACTTATGTTTACAATGGAGCACCCAGCCCCACAAGCTGACTGAAACAATCCGTTGCAAGTTAGCAATGCAAAAACATTCCGGCATCGCAGCCTGAATTGAGGTTTACTCAAATGGCCAGCCACAGTTTGCCCACTTAAATAGCAGCCAGTCAGAGGAAGTGACAAGAGCTGGGGCACCCGAAGGAACTGTACTAGCAAGGGTTGGGCTGGTGTAAAAATATGTTCAGAGCTGCTTGGTATTAAGCCAAACACTGGTATATATCGTATATCGAATTTTACCTCTTGATGTCGCACTTGACTCAGCAGCCGCTCCCGAGCCGAACATAATGAGACTGAGAAAGCCCATGAATGAGTGTAGTGACTCCCGCAGTGTTTACACGTTTGCCACATTTATGTTTTTCGGCTCGGGTCTTTTGTTGCCTTCAAATCCCAAATGTTGCCATATTGGCACAGTTTTAGTTTTCTTTGAGACTGACTGCATGTCTCGCCATCCCAAAAAACACATGAAACAAACAAACGCATTGTGCACAATGTGCACCATGCACATCTTACCCCTCCCCTCCCCTCCTCTGAAGGTTGCTGATGTGGGATACTTTTCAATACACCAGATAATCTCATAATGACAAATGCGTCCGGCAAAACCTGAAATGGACCCATCTCGAGCACAAAGCCTACACCCTTTTTCAATTTCAACTTGGGAACTTGCCACCATTACCTCCTCCATTGTGTGATGCATTAACGACGACAGTGCGAAGGCGTAGAGAGATTTGTCATATGTTGCAACAACCACTAATAAGTTGGTGGTTGCCTCCCTTGAAGCATACTGGTGGGGGGGCTTTATGCTATGATAAAGCAAGTGTTTGTCTGTATTAACACAACAGAATATAGTGCAAGTGTAACATATAAACATTATAATATGTTACATTATGATATATTATGGAAGACACAGTATAAGGTGTAGTATCAGAGTAATAGAGTAGCGTAGTATACCATGATATATAGTCAAGTACAGCGATATAACAAAGTATATAGTATAACATAGTATAAGATATAACATAGTACAGCAATATAATGTAAAATTGAATAGAATATAAATACATGGCAGGTATCATATGGTATAATATCATTGAAATATATCAGTATGGTTGGGTTTATAATCAGACCAACAGAGAGACAATGGAGGAAAGAGGTGAGGTCAGTGTCTCTAGTGAACCAGACATAGTGGATGTCCCCCTTACATTACTTTTGTAGCATTAAGATTACATTAATTCTAGGATGAGTTTTTACCCTTTATCCTCATGCATAATTTAAAAAAAAACTTTTCACCCTGATGAGTTTGCACCTATAGAATAGTACCTTATTCATCCCCATAGGGGACTTCATTTTCTGCATTTAACCCAACCAAACACCCCATACAGAAACACAAGGCCATCAACTGGAGAGGCATGAGGGCACAATACCCGAGCTGATCTAGACTCCGACAACCCTCTAGTTGCCAGCTCCCATTTTGCCAGATTTTTGTGCCATCTGTACCGGAATTTGAACTCGCCACCTTTGGGCTAATTGTCCACTTCTCTAACGTCTAGGCTTCCTACTGCCAAAGTTGCCCACCTATTGTTTCTACCAGCCGAACCCTAATATAGCAGGCGTAAACTGGCCGTGATTTTCAGCCATCCATTGTGTTGCCAGTTTAAGTAAAGTACTAATGCTGTGAAAACATCTCCTTCAAACAACTGGATTTATTCAAGTTTCTCACCAAAAACTTAATTTTACAAGATTACATTTTAACACATCATGATAACATTATAATTTACTTTCATCCAAAACAAATTATTACTGAATGGAGCTTGAATGCACCACAATGGAACTCAATGGAACCTCCATAGGGGTTTGTTCCATACTTTATAACAACAGCTGTTGCCGTCAACGTTACTAGCTCTCTTCCCGCCGATTTCAACACAGATTTGTTGTTCACGTTTCATTAACAGATTTGCAACTACAAAGCATCAATGCCGTTAAACTGTGTGATTAATCCGCGGTTTGCATGAATTCCTGGTCATTTAA